GGCGCGGGGGCATCCGCGGCCTCGTCGCTGTCCGACCGCAGGCTTCCTGCGCGTACGGCCACGGCCGCCTCCGCCGCCCCGTTACGCGGCGGCGCCCCGCCCCAACGCGCTTCCCGGAGCGGTCCCGTACCCGCGCCCGCCACGCCCTCCCACCCTCTCCCCGCGATTAGGAGGCGCGGCCCGCACTGTGCGCAATAACCGAACGCCGTTCAGCACCTTCTCGAGTCCACGCGGCTAAAAATAGCGAGTAACGTTTAGGTAAGACCTGAACCGCCGCGAGATGTTGCACTCGTTTTCCAACTTGTATTTTCGGTAGATTGAATAAGTTTGTACCATTAACAAGATTTCAAAAATAGTGAAAAAAATGCTCCTCTGATAATCTAAAAAGAAAAAAAAGAAGAAAAAAAAGCGTGTCAGTTGAAACTTTTAAAGTGCTTCGTTCATTGTTTCTTGTCAGATGTCACGTGTTTCGTAGGTCATTGCGGAAACTACGGTGTAATAATTATTAAAGTCTTATTAGAAAAAAATTCGTAAAAGTTAACATCGAATGTTTTCCTAACACGACTGAGTTACTGCGTGACATTTATGTCGCAGGTTTTCCACTTGTTTTCTATACGTCGTTGGTAATTGAATAAACATCTCCAAGAAAATAAATATTTTTCATGCGAGTTATTTTCGAATGTGAGGAACATTGACATCAAAATATTACAAAATATTTGGACTTCCGGACAGCGCAGCATACACCTTGTCTGATAATTTTTGCACATGCCTTCTTCGACATTGAATGAGCCGGTCCAAGACTCGCAATAGGAGAAAATTTCGCCACGTGGAAAATAAGCCAGAACGTAGCCGTTTTTATATGAACAACACATAGACGTAAAGAAGGGTAATTGCTTGACAGGTAATCAAGGGAGAAAGTGCGCTCCAAAAATCACGTGAGAAAGCAACGAAGCGTTCGAAAACGACAGCCCAGCGTCGAACACAAACACTGACAAAGACGGCGCGGCGCCGAAGCCTCACTCTCCCCGATAGGCTTCCTGCAACGATAGGATGATGGTGATGGATGAAGCTCGGAGCTGCGGGATGACAAGGGACTTCCAGATAAAGAAACGGGAAGGTGCGTCAATGAAAACGACACGGCCCCGCCGTCGGGAAGAAAAGTGATAGGCGCGTCGCAGTGACAAAGGACGAAAGGTCGGGACGGCCACAAGCCACAGGCGGGCGAGATGGATGGAGGTGAGGGAGTGTGCGTGCGGAGTGTGTGTATGTGTCAGTGTATTTGTGCGTAACGAACGTCTCTTAAATCAGATATACCTGAGCTTGGAAATCCAAGAATCCTATTCTAGATATACAACATTTTTAAAAAAATCGAGAATTTAAGTGAGTTATTGAGTCGCAATTATATTTAAAATAACAAAAAATGGAGAAAATGCAAAGAAATTAAACGTCTTCGAATGACGTGATGTTGTGGAGAAATTATTTGTTTTTCGAAAAATGTAAGGAAACTTATTTAAAAAAAACATATTTGATAATTCATTAATTCAGACTTATAATGTGTAACTGTTATATTCTTAACAGAATCTGAAAAAGCATATTTAATTGGGATCTTTTGAAATTACAAGAACAAACTGTCTTTTGAATTACATACTAAATGAAAAAGATAGATAGATAGACAAATAGATAGATAGATAGATGGATGGATGGATGGATGGTTAGATACTCCTAAAGGTGTAAGAACTGAAGCTAGGAATAAGATGCAGCATTCTTGGTAAATGCTACATTGTGTTGTGACGTAACATGAAGTGATTAGAGATGTAAGATAAAGTGGAATAAAGTGACGTGAAACATGTAAAAAGAGGCCGGAATGTGACGTGACGCGATCTGATTGAAAGCGACGTGAGATGATAGGTAACTCACCTGGCAGCTGGACCCCGGCGAACAGCAGCCGCTCCGACAGCTCCGAAATGTAGCGCGGCGCCACGAGCTCACGCGGGGGCGGCGCCTCTGCAACACACAAACGCACTTCGCTCAATTCCTTCACGCCGTACCCACAATGCCACAGCGCGTGGCATACGGCGGAAATTTCTATCATAAAATCTAAAATGAATAGATGAAGTTTATTGTAAAGATTCACCAATTGACTTGTTTTCTCAATATGGATTATTCTCTGATTATGGTTTTCCTAATAATGACAAAACTATCACAATGAACTGTAAACATGAAATACGATAATTCTCAATAATTGTTGATGTTTCGAGGTTTCAGTAGTACACCACCCGGCTCCCCGTACCAAGGACAGAGAGGCCCAATAAATGCAGATGCGGCTAATTGGTGGATGAAACAAGATGTAAATAATGTAGATATAAATTTATAGACTGAAAAAGGTTTATGTAAAAATAAAACATGTTAACTTTGTGTAATATAATAAATGTCATAAAAAAGCTGATCTACTTACAAAAGCTTCTATTAATAATATATAACGCGTATACACATAACGTATATACACATAATTGAACACAACGTAATAATTTGACTCTATTGTCACAATTGAGTTATTACATTTTTTTAATACATTTGGAGAGCGCCACTGCGAATGGATAGCAGGGTAGCTATTACGCGAAATATATAGGGATGACAATTTATTTTTTCTAAAATTTACCGAGACGAATTCAGCTTAATTTGCTGACATATTTTCGAAAAAAGCGATCTGCAAATGCCCTGCAGTGTGTCTACTTTCATATATATACAATGCCTGAAATTAATACATGTATTAATACAAAACGTATGACTGGAAAGACACAATCATCATCACAGTAGAAAAGAAATTAAAAAAAAAATCGAAAGTAGGGTAACGACCACTATTAATGAATGAAACCGGGGAGACCAATCTATCGACAGGTCCCTTTCAAAGAACGACGCCCACATGATGCATCTTGTAAGCGTCCATTCGACCGCGCCCGGTATGTTTTCATGTGGCTGATTCCATCCATCACGTGTAGGCTCTTAAATGGCGGCGGCGGCTACGCGCGCGAAAAAACGCGGGTTCACGCCGCGCAACGCCACGCCACGCCGCGCCGCCTCGCAAGCAGAGCGTCCCGGCCGAGCGGCCCCCGGGCAAAGTGAGGGCAAACGCGCGAAGAAGAAGAAAAGAAAGTGCGGAAACGGAGGGATTGCTCTCACTAGACGTTTGGACATCCGAGTCTCCTGGGTCAAACGAAATCCCAGGCCACGCGCGGTCTGCTCAATTGCTGCTGTGGAATAGTGTTGCTCAGGGGTGGTAGAATTGCTTGCGTCATTCGTTTTAGACATCCGAGTCTTCTGGATCCAGGAGACTCTTACGCACCGCCAGCCCGATTATATACTGCGAGTTGGGGCTGCTTATAGCAGCTTCTATTGTAACTGTGCTCAAACGTAGGGAAGGTAGTACGACTCCGGTACCTAGCACATGGTTTTACATGGAATGTATAAAAGAGTGAATAAATGAACGAATGAATGGGTGATCATCGTGATATTATATGAATGATGAAGCAATGCTGGAACTGAGGCAGGTGATTAGGATTCCCAATTAAACAATCCGCAAAGCAGCATTTTACACCAGGAATTCCACAAGGAGTGGCTGCGTTTGACACCCGGTAGCGCGAGATAGAAAGGCAGCAAGTCGGCTGGTAGGTTACGGGACCTAATGCCCATAGGATGCAAGACGTATCGCATGGTTCTAAAGAGAGGCTCATATTTATCAACATTATCGGATTCTGCCCGACCATAGTGGATAGATGTGGACAACTCTCCACGCTAACTCTTTACAATTGTGTCGCATCCAATGTCCCTCCTCATCAATATTTAAGATTTATAAATCATGACATCATTGACTGTTCTTTAGTACTATTGGCAAGTATGTAGACGTTCCATCTGACTTATAAAAATTGAATTTGAGACTAAAGTAACAATGAGAACTTTTACTCTGCGTTATATTTATTTGCAAAATTTAAATAGTAAAACCCAATCACACACTGATGAAGTTGGTGATTTCAAAGAACAACACAATCTAGGCATTAATTTCATACACATAATAAAACGGAAGTAATACGCAAACACAAGCAAATGAACGCGAACGAAAGAAGGTGAAAGAGGTGGTGGAGCGAGCAGTAAGCGATCCGATGCGTGCCGAGCGAGGCGCCCGGCCGGGGTCAAGGTCCGGCGCGCGCCGGCGTCCACCGCACGACGGACGTAAAGATCGCTTTACGACACGGCGCCGCGGGGTGGGGGCTGGGCGGCGCTCGGGTCGTAAAAAGCCAGAGGAGCGACGCGCCCTCTTCGGCGAAACCGAAACCGCCTACTCGGCAACCACCATAACCACCAACTCCGCCGCCGCCGTCACCGTCACCGTCACCGTCACCGCCACCGCCACCACATCTGTTTGTCTATCGCTGCCGACTCTACTACAGTTTTTCCTACCACTGGTACTATTACCTTTCCTCTTATCGCTGACGTGGCTGCCACTACTCTCCCCCCTGACGCCGTTGCCGCCAGTACTGTTTCCCCTGCTACCCCCGTCACAGCTGTTTCCCCTGGCGCGGCCGCCGCCATCGTCACAGTCTTCCACCTAGCAGACGTTCCTTGAGACGCGTGGAGTAACAGCGAAGTGGCAAGTCAAAGGTCGTCGAACGCCTCAAGCGGGGTTATTCTCGACTCGGAGGCCTGTTCGGTTTCGTTGAAGGTTTATCGTCTTTTGGTGTCCATCATATTTCGCTACGTCGCCTGGTTATCGATTCTGCTGTTTCGAATTGTGCTGACTTATAGGGAGTTTGCGCCACCTCGAACGTAAAGCACTATCGATCGTCAGCGCATGCGCAGATGTACTAAGGTGGTGCGAAATTTAAACTGCGCAGGCACAGAAGATCGATAGTGCTTTACGTTCGAGGTGGCACAAATTCCTTAACACTATTTCAATATTCAACACGACCAAAACGGAGATCAAAAATGAGAAAAGATACAGTGACATCGCTGTACGACAAATTCAATGAATAAAGGCGTATTCCATGTTACAATGTTGCGCGCAATGAGGCAACTACTCTGATCGACTCTATATGCAGAATTTCGACTGGTCGGAAAATACATTGTTCTTTTGAGAATTGTACTATTAAGTGCTCTGTTGTACGAACAAATGTATTATAATTAACGCATGGTCACTATATATAAAATAAGCCTAATTATATCCGGAAGAACTGACGCTTGGCCAAAAGCAGGTCTGCAAATAAAAGTTTAAGGGGTAGGTCGTAAAAGGAGTTATTTTGAACATGGTAAATATAATTTGGAATCATAATGAGTTAATCTTAGTAAAATTCTATTGGATTAATTTTAGGCTACTGTATAATTTCTTTAATCAGAATATTAAGTAGTATGAGGTGGGGTTGGTGATTCGATGGATATTTTATGAGCCTATTTTGTGTGCGTGATGTGGAAGAGTTCTTGGCCGAATAGGTACTCATGAAGGTCATAAAATGTCGAATTTGGTGTCCGCTTCATTAACTCTGATGCTTCGATATTAACATTTTAGATTAAGAGCCCTTTCTTTTGATATTAGAACACAATCCCGAATGCTCTTGATATAACTGAAAAATAAACTTCTTAAATCGTTTTTAAATAGTTTTGTGTGTGACTCATAATTTACGCTATTGGTGGATGAGACGGGGGCGGAGGCGGGGGCGGAGGCGAACGCGAAGGTCGAGAGTTTCCCCTCCCACCGCGGCGCAACCCTGCCGGCAGCCGCTGGCCTCCACGTTTACAGGTTAATTAATACCTCGTTGAGAGATTTATAAGTGCTAATAGTCAAAACTTAATTTACATTCCTTCCCAATAATGCTCATTATATATTACCGCACTTTGCGCAACGGTGCCCTCAGTTGCGTTAAGTAATATTTCAAAGAAATGGCTTTTTTATGAATAATAAAAGCGGATGAAAATAATAAACAGCTCTCCGGGAGCGGTACGGGCGTGCGGCTCATAAATAACACAAGGGACGAGGGGAGGGGGGGTCAAGTGAAGTGCGAGGTGGAGGCCTGGCGGAAGGGGCGGGGAAAGAATACAGCTGTTTACACGAACCAGCGACTGCATGTTAATGAGCGGACTCGGAGCAGAGAAGCTGGCTGGAAAGGCAGCGGGTCGCACGGCAGAAGGCTCACAGCAGCTGGCAGGAATTGAAAGAGAACGAATAGCGGGAGAAGGATGTGTTTCGGGGATGGGAAAAGACAACTGTGGGAGGACGTTCGTAAGCGTTGAGCAACGAGCCCAGCAAGTTACGGTTCGCTCTTCAAATATTATAATGCTTTTTCGGCTACAGAGAAGGGATTACAAGATAAGAAGCACTGCAATTTCCAAGCTTCTCGAGTGCTGTAAACCAGACAAGCCGGAAAGACTATTGCACCGTTCAATGCAACATTCCGAGTATTTAATACCTCCTGTCTCCTACGTGATGAAATTCGTAATAGAGATACGAATTTGATACGTGACTGATGTGCTCCTGTGTATTTCGTTTGCTACACACTGTTGGGTAGTCGAGTCGGTGATGTTTGATAAGACCTATTAAACATTCTGATTGAGCACAAATCTAGTGCATAATAGTCGAAAATACATTTCGAACAGCAAAACATTATCCTGCAAATATTGTGTCGACATTTGTTGTGTTTTGAGAATTTTTATTACTTTATTTTATACGGTGAATTCTTAATATTGTGGATCGCGAGGAAAGATAATTTATCTATAACGAGTTTCCAGCCCCCAAATTTCGAGAGTGCAGAAAAGTTTTAAGGGTACAATTTAAGGTACCAAAAAGGAGTGTTACCAAAATGAAACGAATAACAAAAAAACAAAAAAATAAAAGTATCAAAGAGATATCAAATAATTATATTTATCGGAGAATTACATCAAAAAAATTCAAGATATTAAGAAATTCTGTTGATCAGGGAACTCCAGAAGCAATTTATTAAACCTCATTTACATTGCGGTGAAAACAGTCAGAAGGTAAACACTGTTCATTCATTGCAAATGGCCAGCGCGAATCGTTCTCCTGCTCGTTCTGCGGCTGCTCGCGGA